TTTAAATAATAATTCTCTGCTTCTAAGTTTACTCACAAATTAAAAATGCTAAATATAGCATGAAATGTTCAAAAGACCAAATCATCCAGATTTGTCAGAATACTCAGACAATTTAGTCTTGGACTAAAATAAAATGCTTTATAAAAGCCAGATATGTAGTCATACAGTTCAATCAAGAAATCTTTCCTGAAGAGATTCATGAGGGTATTGAGCTCAACTGATGTATGAAGTTACAGAGCCAAAGTCAAACAACACTTTCAACTTCTTTTCATGTGAGGACCTCATTATGCAAATACCTATGAGGACGTCTGGATCCGTTCCCAGAGTTTATGTGGTTCTAACCTTGGAATATCTGTGAACTGGGAAGATAGGTTATTCTGACATAAAATCAAGGACGCCTAAAATTTTGCTTTGTTTCTATAATGCTATAGAGAGAGACGGTTCATGGTATCATTTTTAATCATGGTGAAAGGCATACTATTAGACTTAAAAACTGCATAGGAACATGTGAATTTGAATTATAATGCAGTATTTACTGAAATTACAAATCTTTTATACCAAACAATTTTCTATCAGCACATCAGGAATACTTGTCAATTTTAAAAGTCAAAGTAAGTTTAGAGAAAATACAATTTCAAGAAAAAGATAATCCATAATGTACATCATAAAGAGGTTGTAAAAAAGAATTTTGTTAAGAATTCTAAGAAGACAGTGATAATAAAATATTGTTCCTAATAGCACCTAAAATTATAAGAATCAAAATAAACTCGCCCACTCTTGGTTTATAAATACTATACTCCAACAGGAGGAACCAGAGTTCCTTGGAAAAGTGGTTGATTCCAAGTCTGGGGAAGGGAAAATGTAAGATCGGCCTGGAGTATCTTGTGGTTCTAGAAAGTAAGAAAGTGCTGAAAAGATGGGAGAAAGTTAAAAGGTCACAAGAGCCAAAATTAAACAGCTGTTAATACCAATGGCCCAAGCTGGAAAAACTTAAATAAAATAAATAATGATAGTTTAGGATTATAACACATAGAATAAATATCCACAAGCCCATATTAAAATAAATAAATAATAGAAAAGAGAGTTATTTCTTATATAAGAATTCAAGTAGTAGAAATTAAGGAAATAGAATATTATAATAGAACACCACAGTAAATAATTGTTGCCAATAGGCAAGATCTACTATCTACCAATGGATGCTAAAATTAGTGGGAGGAAGCCTGAAGAGAAATAGAATATTTGTATAGTCTCAATGTATCTTCCCTAAAATACTTATAAATCTCAAAGGTAAAAAGGGTAACTTTATACTGTAGTAATTCAGCAGACATCACTTTAACCAAGTGATCAAGGTAATATCACTAGTAATAAGACAATAGACATCATGTTACTCCTGATATAATGCATTGAGAAGGAATACCACTTTTGTGGTAATCTAAACAAAAATGCACAATCATAATCAAATCAGGAGAAAACATCAGACAAATTCAAATTGAGAGACATTCTACAAAATATTGACCCCGGACTCTTCAAAGTGTCAAGGTCATGAAGACAAGGAAAGATTGAGGAACTGTCACAGATCAGAGGGCACTAAAGAGACATGATGACTAAATGCAATATGGAATCCTAGATAGAATCATAGAACAGAAAAAGAATACTAGTGGGGAAAATGGTGAAATTCTAATAATGTCTGTAGCTAGTTAACAGTATTATCCCAACATTAACTGTGTGGTTTTGATCATTATATTGTGGTTATATAAGACCTTAACATTAAAAGTATATGGGAAGGCTCTATTATTTTTACAACTTCTGTGTAAGTCTAAAATCAAAATAAAACAATGAAAAATAAGCAAATACAATGGCCCATTCTGAGATGAGAAAAAAATAATATCAATCAAATGACTTAATTTTTTTGAAGCTAATTTTAACTGTCATTTAGATTTCAGGCAAATTCAAGTATTTCAATATTGTATAAGAAAAATTAACAGAAAAATAATTACTAATATAATTCCCTTTGTAATTACAGCATAAGAAATTTTAATGTGGTTAACTTTCATGAAAGTAAGATAAAATAAGCTCTGTAAGAATCTTCTGTCTCATATTAAGAAATCACTCTTTTAAGACTCAAACTTTTCTTTACCTAATTGTATTTGTATTTCAAAGGCAGATAAATAAATAAACATAGTACTGTTTATGTTTAATCTGGGCCTTAACTGTAAAGCACTAGTATAGTAATATCTATTGCATTTCTCTCACTCCTGGTAGATCACGAACTATGAGAGGCAATCTATTGTGGAACCAGACATCTACTGCTAACTTTGTACCCCAGTCCAGCATAGTTCTCAAGACGTGGGGGTACCAACAATTATTAGCTCAAAATGAATTAAATAATTAAGTAAAAGATCTTTCTAGTTGAAAGAAATTATTTTCATGTATTTAAAATGCTTTTAGTTACAAAAAACAATCCCCTGGTAAAATTATGTATAAAATTAAAAATAAAATAATCCTCACTATACTTCTTTCAAATCTCAATATTGCCAATATAGCTTGTTTCTATTCTGGTCACAAATAAGTTTATCCTTTCTTTAAATTCAGTTTATAATTCGCACCATTATGGTTGAGTTAATTTTTTAACAATTAGTTTCTTTCAAATATATATTTCAGTGTCTTTCAATTCTTTATGAAGTATATACTTGCCTTTACCATAATAGTTATTGGGGATATAATGCAAATAATCTGAGAACTATGTAGTTTAAATAGTTATGTGGTATTACTTGTGCTACTTAAATAATAATAGCTATGGCCAAATGTTGAACAGCTATTTTCCATTAGAATATGTAATCTTTAAGGCTAGATGCTGTATCTCATTCTTTTGATATATCTCTAGTGACTGTTAAAAATCTAGTAGATAAAAACATTTCATGCTTTCTAAAAAGCATAAGAATTCAGAATATATATGTACAGACCAAATTTGTTAAATCAAATGTAGTATACATTCTAAGAGGAACTGAATAAAATTTCTAATCATGGTCACTAAATATACAATGTAATTTATTATTATAAAAAGAAAACAGATTTGAGAGTTCCAAGCTGTTATTCTGGAAATGGAACATTTACACGCTTTACAGCTGAAACAGTTTTAAACTAAATTAAAGATCATCAATAAAAAAAAGCTTTTTATGAAGACATTCTAGCTTAATAAAAATCATAGTGAAACAAAAAACACATTTAACCTGTATTAAACAGCAGTTTGTTATTTTGATGGGCTTTACCAATATTTTAGATTTTCGATGTCTTAACATAAGAGTAAAAACAAAAACCAACATAGAAATGTTTACACAGTCTCAAACATAGGGCCAACACACTTCCTTAAATGTTTTAAAGAACATGTAATATAAAAAAGATGAACATTCCATCCTTGTGCACTTTTAGTCCATTTATGTGCTATGGCAACACTTAAGTTTTGCCTGATTTCAAGTACTCTGATAGTTCTCTTTAATCTTACTAAAGGACAATAGTTATGTTCCTGTTTGCACTGAATTTATTAATACTTCTCAGACAAATGTCCTAGGTGGAAATTTATTTTACTGGCTAACTGTCCAAAGAAAGTATTCACCCCCCCCCCCCCACAAAACCCCTCAACTCTAGGAGGGAGGGAAGAAGGAAGGAGGGAAGAAAGGAGAAGGAAGGGAGAAGGAAAGAGTGGAAAGATGGGAGGGGGAGGAGGAGGACGGGTAGGGAAAAGGAGAAGGAGGAGTACCAAGTGAAAATATAAGCCCGATAAATGCCCTTACCGTCACTTCTTTTTTCTGCTTCTTTTGCTGCACTTTCTACTTTTTTTTGTTTTGCTGCTAAGAGTTCCCGCTTTAATTGTCTTGCTTCTTTTCTGAGCTCTTCACTATAAAGCAAAAACAGTTACATAAATGTGTAATATACTGAGAGAAAAAGTTGTTTAGCAAAATGGTTTTCAGGTACACTAAATCTAAGAAAAACAAAGTGAATAATGTAATTCATTCATTTTATTTCTGTGTACATATACTTGTGGTATAGAAACACACTTAAAGGATATTTTGAAAGTTATAATTTTTCATAATAGTAATATGAGTTACTATAAAATATACCCCTTTTCAAGTATATCAAACACAAGATAAGTGATAAATGACCCATTATCCTCCTAATTCACTAGCAAATTTAATATTCTGGTTTTAGCTTAATAATTCATGGAGATTCTGTATCAAAACAAAATTTTTAGTATAAATACTATTCACTAAACCTGGACATACACAAAAATTTGGCTTCAAAACTTGTTGAATTCCTGAACCAATAACTATCATTTATTAAGCAATTATTATATGCTAGGTACAATGCTAAGAACTTTTAAAACTCATTTGATTTTTTTAAACCCAAGTGTTTAACTCATTTATTACTAAAGTTTGGCATATAATTTTCTCTTCTGTGAAACTTACCAGGCTGAGGTATTCTGATGACTAATATTAATATAATCCTGGGGTGAAGTAAATGCTGACTGAGAAGTAAATGCTGACTTCACTATAATTCGCTAGCTAAGTGACTTGTTCCAATAAGCCAGTTTTAGGGCAAAAGATTCAAATTCATGCCTTGGAAAAAATTACTAATTACTCATGTCATGAGCCCTTAGGGTTACTTGTAAGTAGTTAAAAGTATGCATATATTACCTTTGAATGTCAAGCATCCACTGTATTTTCAACAAAAGCTAGAGTGAATCATGGATACTCAGACTGTAAGCCCAAGGAGGCACCCCGCTTGGTCTCCAGAGATACCCAAAGACATCCAAGTCAAGCTTTAGCGGAAGGGAATCTGAAGTGTAGATCATTACATACTGATTCAACTGATTCAGCTTGTGCTTCCTCTTGATCTCAAATCCCATATCTTTTTATAATACCACTGCCGTTTATTAGAGTTACCAAACTGTTAGGCCTTACGATGGTCATGACTCTGCTCTTTTTATCTTTTCTCCATGACAGACAGACAGCTACATTTTGCGTCTGCTTGGCCTTCGAGATCCTGAATTCTGAAACCTACCTCTCTGATAAAAACCCATAATCTTTTTGGCTTTTTCAGTCTTTCATTCCTACTAAACTTGTGCTCACTCTTATAATAATGAAAGCCAACTCCTTAACCATAGTTTGTGGTCCACCAGTCTCATTCTAACCCTAACTGGCTCTCTATCCATTCTGGATGCTATGGCCAGCGATTTCAGTGATGTCCTCATCAGTACCCTCAATTTTCCTACTTGTTTGTCTTGTGGATGCATCATAATCACCTAGATGAACTTGTTAAAAGCATGTTTTAGGAGACAAACCTTCAGAGAATATAATAACTTTAGATGTGGGATGTTGCCTGGAAATTTGCCCTTATAACAAGTTCCCCAGTGATTCCAGTACGCACATAGGTTTGGAATCCAATGCTTTAGTACCTTACTATAGAAATTATCTTTTCTCTTATAATTTCAAGCACTCCTACTTCACTGATCCTTTCATTTAGCAAAGAAACATGCTCAAATTCCTCTGGACTCTGCTCAAATCAAGTGATTATTATCTTTACAAATGTACTCCATTCCTGACAGAATAGTTTATATGCACAGTTTACTTCATCATGTCTAACTTCTTAGTCTCTTACAATCTGCTCTTATACTCTACTGAAACTACTTCTATGATATATCGACCAAATTCAATGGCCTTTTCTCAGTCCCCCCTTTCCTCTTTGGCCTATCATTCAATGATGTTAACTACTCCTTCCTTCTTGGAATTCTATCCCAGTCAGGCTTATGTACCACTTTTGAGCCTTTCATTTCTAATTCTTTGTGTCCTGTTTACTCTTATTTTTTACATATTATAACTATTGCCATTTTTCTCATCTCTATCACTACACCCTGGCATCTTAATCTAATCTCATAAGATCAACTATCACTACTATATGTTATCTTCAAATCTAGATGTTTTGCCTTGATTTTGGTCATACATTTCTAGCTATCTATTACAAATCTCCATGTAGATTAGTGCTGTCCAACAAAAATACAGGGTAAGACACGTATGCAATTTTAAGTTTCCTAGCAGCCATATTTTTTTAAAAAATAAAAGGAAACAGGTTAATTTTAACAACATATTTTATTTAACTTAATATATCCAAAATTCTATTTTGTTATGTAACTGATATTAAAAATATTAATATGATATGTTACATTCTTTTTTTGTACTAAATCTTTGAAATCCAGTGTATATTTTAAACTTACAGCACTGCTCAGTTCAGACTAGCCACATTTCAAGGACTCAGATCTAGATGGATAGCAGGCCAGATGTCTCAATATAATTACAAACTCTCTGTGTCCAAACCTGAAGTCATCTCTTTCTTGCCCAGATCTGTTCCTTTTCCTGAAGTCCCCATTTGATCAGGGAACCATTATCTTCCCAGTGATCAGACTTTAAACTTCCCTTGGACTGTTCCTCCTCCCTTGCACTGAATCAGTGTTGAAATACATTATTTTCTAATCTCTCTCACAGAGTTCCTTTTGGCTCGCACTATCAATGCCTTGTTTAAGCTCTCACCGTGTATTTCTCAGATAAATGCTATTATTTCATATTTCTTGAAGCTATGTGACACAATTTTAGAAATCGCATATTTAGTCAGCATGAGGTAAAAATGGAATTGCTTAGTCCCTGCACAAGGAACAGCAATAACATCTTTGCTCCATCCACTAAACACTCCTATCTTTTTATTGCACTAGTTTTTACATTTTTTAATTTGGTAAGTAATCCAGTTATTTAGATGATACTTTCTGAAGACTATGGTCTTTGAGGTGGAGATTTTTTGAGGGTTGAAGAGAAAATACTGTATTTCTAGGCCGACCTCATTTTGAAAGTAATTTGAAGCACACAAAGAATGAGGCAAAGAAAGTATATACTGTTTAAGATAGTATTGTAGAGGCAATAAAACATAGTTATTAAAGGAATTAACTTTGGATTCAGAAAGCCCTAATTGAAAAGCCAACTTCATCACTTATTAACTGGGTCATCTTAGAATAGATACTTAACTTCTCTGAGACTCAGTTCATTCAACTATAAAATAGAGGTAAGGTATGTAAAATATTGAATACACCATACGTGTTCAACAAATGGTAGCTATTATTTTTTAGGACATATGTTTAAAATAGCACTGCTCTTAAGAGCTGTTTGTCATATATAGGCATATTTCTTTATTATGTTATTTGCTACAAATGAATGCTACCTCTAGTATATATAAAAACTAATTCTGTTCATAATTTTAAAATGGCAATGAATGCATGTTTGCTTCTAAAAATCTCTCTTTAAATAGTCAAAGGTTTAGATACAATATTGATGTAGACAAACTGAACAATGATGAGTAAAAACTCAAAAAAGACAAGGTGAGACAGAAAAAGGTAGGTATATATAGATTATTAAAAATTGCTTCATTTTGCTAAATTTTTCAAGTGATTGAGGATTTACAATGTCAAAATCTTTCAGACTTTTCTAACAACACCATTTGTTAGTAGTTGTGGAATCCACAACTCTTTGGAATGAAGTGTAAGTTTTTAAACTAATCTTTAGATCACAGTCTAATTTCAGGGTTCCCAATCTTAGATTCTCTGGAATATAATCCTATCCACTGGCACTAGAATATATTTAAATAAGAATGGAAATTCTAAGCTTAGAGTATATGTAACCATATACTGCCAAACTATGAGCTTACTATAAAGTCCAGACAGTATCTTCTTGGCCCCCTCAGAGCCTAGTTTCTACTTGAATGGTAAAAGAAATGGCTTTTATAAACTACTATTAACTCTAACCTAATTAATTGTTCTACAATTAGGTATGTTTCTAATTTGAATTCATTTGACTTTTAACATGGTTTGTATGATACCACCATTATCCACCAGATAATTCTGCATTGAATATATTTTTTTATTTGATAAATCTATAATATGTTCTGCTCTAATGGAAAATAGAATTTCTATTAAACAATAAACCCAATAAAATATTAGCAACCTAGAAATTACACTAGCTTTATATGTTTAGTAATGGCAAAGAAATTACTAATTCATTTAACATTTTCTGGAGCACCTAATACATGTATGGTACCATTCTGGGTGCTGGCACAGAAATGAAGATGAATAAGGAGGGAAGAGAACTTAATTTTGCAGGTTATTTATGTCAGTTACTTCCTCCACCACTTAATCTTCTCAACGGCCTGTGATATAGGCATTTTACAAATAAGGGGATTAAATAAACACCTTGTCTGAAGTCACGCAGTCAGTAAGTGACAGAGCAAGAAATTAAAAATGGGGTGGTCTGAATTCTAAGTCTATTCTCTTTCCATGATATTATATTGACTGACACCTTGAGAAAGTCTCCAAGGACCTTAAATTCCAAGGAGGGACATAAACCATGCACAACAATAATAAAAATAGTATTAATATATAATAAAAAGTGGTAACAACCATGCCAAAGAAATGAGTGAGGCATTTTGAAATTCAGTGAAGGAAAGATTACTGCAGGTAAAATAAGGGATGGCTTTGCAGAGGAGGCATTTTAACTGGGCTCTGAAAGATGAGTAGGAATTAGCCAGGAGGAGACAGAGCAAAGAGGTATCCAAGTAGTATGTCTTAAAGACAGGGAGATGGAAAAACATAAGTGTGCATGCTAAAAAATGAAGGTATTTGGCTGTAGTAATTTAAAGGGGGAGGTGACCAGTAACAAAAGATAGAGCTGGGAAGAGAATCTGAAGTAAAGTATATAGGCCAAATATTTGTGAAAAGTCAAAGTGAGAATATTTTCCTTCAATTTTCCACATCTTTGACTTCGCAATTTTTTTACAACCAAAATCTCAACTGCTGTTATTGTC